CGCACGATGCAGCGACCGGCCAGAGGGAAAAGTGTAAAACCGTGAACTGTCTATTGCAGGGGAATCCACACGTGGGAACTGATGGCTGGTTCTCTGCTGATCAGACGTAGCAGCTGGAAGAAGGCTCTGTCCGTCTCCGTCTCCTTTCTTTTTTATTTTCTCCACTTCTCTGTTTAGAATAAAAAGCTCAGAAGATCCCCACAGAGTCCAGCCTCATGAGGTGGGAAATCTCCTTTTGGGATATAAAGGCATCAGGGTGTAGATGACTTTACACATCACATGTGTATTAGATTGGAAGCTCTTTGGGGCAGGGACTGTCTCTTTGTTCTGTGTTTGTGCAGCACCTAGCACAATGGGGCCTACTCCATAACTGGGGCTCCTGGCTGCTCTGGTAACACAATCATCATCCTCCTCGCATCTGCAGAGGGACCCAGACGCAGCTGAACGGCTGAAACTTCCCTGCACAGAGTGAGGCCGGATGGCAGGAGCCTGCAGAGGGGATTTGCAGCCCCTGTATATGCCACAGCTCCCAGCTCCCCTGATCCTCAGCAGGCTCGTGCTCCCTTTGCAGTAACGTTACATGGACGTGCAATGGGCTTGTGAAGGGGGAGGATGGATGCGGGAGGAGCTGGGAGGGATGAGAATCTCTCCCCAGGCCAGAGCTGGAGCTGCTACTCCAGTGCTACCTCCACAGGCGGCTGCTTTACCCCCTGGGCGAGATCCACAGGGCCCCATGTGCCAGTCCCTCTGCACCCTCTAACAATCACAACACGTTATCAATGACTGGAGCGCTCCTGGTGCCTGAGCCTGCACGCGCTGCCTGCTTACATCACAACTTGTTGTTTTTCAAGCTGTCATTCGAACTGTCACTCATTAAAAACAGACGGCAACCCCACTAGTGGTGTTTGTGTTGCCTTTATTACCTGTTCAATGCATCAAGCTCGGCTTATTGTGTAATAAGAAAGGTGCCCTCTTCAATCCTTTGGGCCAGATTCTGCTCTGGTTTCCAGCAGTGTAAACCTCTAGGAGCTCTGTTGCAGTCAGTGGAGTTACTCCAGATTGACACCGGTGTCTCTGAGAGCAGAATCCGGCCCTTTCTATCCCACTTTACATCTGTGTTTCTTTTGATGGATGATGCAATGAATGTGTTAACACATGACTTGTTACACACACACCTTCAAACATGGCGGATGGTGATCAATTGTTCTTCATTTCCACTAAAGGCAGGACAAGTTATCGGCTTAATCTGCCGCAAGGGAGATTTAGATTACATGTTAGGAAAAACTTGCTAACTCCAAGAGGAGTTCAGCTCTGGAATAGATTGTGGAATCCCCGTCACTGGCAGGTTGAACAAACACCTCTCAGGCCTGGTCTAGCTTTACTTGTCCAGACCCCTGTGCTTAGGCCGGACCTTGATGACTTGTCAACTTCCCCTATAACCTGACATGTCTGTGATTCTCTGAGCGTCAATAAAAAATGAATGACTAAGGCCCAGAATCTGATGATCTGTTACCCTGAGTACTGAACCCAGCAGGGCTGCAGGAGGGCCCAGATTTCCATTGTGACTTCAAACTGAGGGTTGGAATGAATGGTGACTTGCAGTCACTGAGGATGCTTTCAGCAAGACGAGAGCGGCTGGCTCTGGTTCCTTGGCCAACATCCCATTTGGGATATTACTAGAGCTGGTCAGGTCTTTAGAAGGAACATTTCTTGGTCAGAAAATGCACAGGTGTTGAAATGTAGGGTTTTCCCCCATGGGAAAGGGGTGAGCTTTGAATTTTTTGACTTTCCAAAAAGTTTCAGAATTGAAACATGAACCAATCCGGTTCTCCAGTTCAAAACGACACCTCGAAGCTTCGAAGCTTAAGCTGGTTATTGCTGAAATAAAATGGAACAGAGTCCAAATTTTAGATGGTCCAAATTGAAAGGAAGCATTTCAAAATTATTAAAACAAAACGCTTCCTTTCACCCAACCCAGAATGATTTTTGGTTCCAGGAAAATTTTTGAGACTTTGATTATTTCCTCCTAGTTCATGACAGGAAAAGTTTTCGATATCTTGAAAATGTGTGTGGGGTGGGAAATCCATTTTCTGCCCAGCCCTGGTAATCACACGATGTAAAATGTAGCTGCACTTGGCTACATGGCTCCTTTCACTTCCTGCCCTAAGGCACTGCGCAGTGCTGCTGTGGGGCTGTCAGACAGCTGCCCCGCTCCACCCCCACAGTGCATGAAGGGATTTCTCTATACAGTGTAAGGGCCCAATCCTGCACGGTGCTGATGCACCGACTGTGACACACTGGACACTCACCACACTCAGCAAAGTCAAGGGGAGTGGTGGGTGCTCAGCTACTTTTAGGATCAGTGCCTATGTTCAGTTCCTTTAAGCACTGCCCATTGTAAAGCAGTGTGTTCGGATCTCTCGAGCAGTAAATAAAGCATTGTGCCACTGTCAATCAGTATTACTGGGTGCTTTGTAACAGGCACTTTCTTTTATAAGGGACTTTGCTGAGGAGACATTGTTCTCGAATAGTGTGTATGATTTCTGTGGTCTTATCTGTACAACCACTGACAACATTCAGCCCCTTAACAGCGAGCCTGGAGACCTGATTCTCATCTGCATTAAGCCCTTTTCCTCCATGATAACGCCCAGGGGCCTGGAAGTGGGTGTGAGTGTAATTTCTGCTCCTCTAAACTCCTCTTTACATTGGTGCAAAGGGGAAGCTGTGTCATTGTGAGTTACGCCCTTGGGCTAGAAATCAGACAGAATCTTGGCCAGTCCAGTCGTCCTTCATCAGCCAAATTCTTGCTTCCACTTAACGTTGCCTCAGTCAGGGACTGCAGGATTTAGCCCAGGGAGTGAAAGGGAAGGAAGGAAGAAGGAAGAACTGCCTGGAAGGGGTTTGTGACAGATCGATCCCCACGTTGCCAGGGGAGCTGCAGCCAGTCAGAGCAGTCTCAGAAAATGGGCTGCAGTCTAAGGAGACATGGAGAAGTAACCTGGGGAATCTGGTCTTTTTTGAGCCAATTGCTCTATTCGCTAGCCCATGTTGCCCTCTATTGTCAGCTGTTTCAGAAGGGTCACTGATAGATGCACTTTACTTCTCTCTCCCTACTTTGTGCAGTGAGACGCAGATTGCTAACCAGCCCCTTTCAGTTTGTTTTTAGCCAGTTTATTGATAGATCCAGGAGGAGGCCCTTAACTTCCATTGACTTCAGTAGGAGTGAGGCCCCTAACCCACTTAGCCATGTTTAACAATCCCGCTAGGCACCTCTCTGCCTTTATAGGCACAGAAATACTTTTGACAATCTGGCCCTAAGTAACTTTTGAGAATGGGACTTGTACTCTTGAAAATTGCATCCCACAGTCTCTTATTTGTCAAATATCAGAGCTTTCAGTGTGAGGATTTAAGGTACAATTAAAGTCCTCCAAGACACGATGCCAAATGATCATTACATGTCTGTGTTGTACCAACACAAAATATGATCCATTAAACCAAACATGAAGGCTGGGGAGAGATTTACGGTGTGATTCTCAGAAGACCGTAGTGATTTAGGAGCATTCTCCTTTGAAAGTCAAAGGGACTTATGCTCCGAAGTCATATCGATTTGTTTATATAGATCATCCATATTCTGGATGTTTAAATTTATTCTCAATCATTATATACACTCCTGTGCCGTTGGACTGCAGAGAAATTCTACAAGAAATGCTGCAGCTTCTGTAGATTCTTTACCCCACCCATCTAGTGTCTATCACCAGAGCACATCCTCCTCGGAGGCGTTCCTCACTGGACATAACCGAGACACTGAACCCAGTCACTGCAGCAGTGCACTGGGCATCAGCCTTTGGGCCAGTGTGTCAGGATTTTGTTCGACTTTTTTATGAACATGATCTTTGCCGAGTATCTGGTTTTATCTTCCTTAGGTAAAACTTCTGCATTAAGCTTTGGAATTGAGAAATCAGCCTCTTCAGTGTTGAATATCTATGATATGTTTTCAGACTTTAGCTGGATGTTAATAGCAGGGTTTTTTTAGCATTTAGGCTGCAGAGCATAGATGATGTCAGATTAACTAAATTCTATGGCTGAGCTATCCAGTCCATCTGTGGCAGTTGGAGACTTGATGGAAACTGGCTATAATGATATTTTATTTCTCCAGTGCTAGGAGTGCAGTTATTTCTGTACCAGACTCAGCGGATCCAGTTTGTGGAAGTTAATGACACCACCAAGATGCACTGTTCTTCCACGGAAAACTTGGAAGGAGGAGGATTGAAAGTGTTTTGGTATTTGAGAAGAGAAGGTGAGACTCTAACATGCATTAAGCGCTGTTCGGATGATCAAAATGTAAGTAAATTTGCTTGCAAACACGAGACACACAGCTCGACCCTGGAAATCAGCAATGTCCAAAAGACTGAGTCTGGCATTTACTACTGTGCATATAAATACAGCAGCTACCTGATCTTCGGGAATGGATCCACACTGATTGTTGGAGGTAAGCAACCATTTAACTTGTTTAAGGAGACTAATAACCGATTGACAAAGCATATTTCATGTTCCCATTAAAATGTAACAAGATACCATATCTATTGATGAATGGTT